TCTTCCTTTAACTTCCCTTCCACGTAGCCCACGGGGCGTCTTTGAAAATTGATTTTTTGTTGTTAAAGTTTTATTTATCCATTTCGTGGGGCATACGGAGACGGCCGTATGCAGACGGGAAGCAGCCGTACGGACGTGCGTACATCTGCCCCGTACCCGTTAAACACTTGTGAATGACGAGACAGCCCCCGCCCATTCGCGCAGAGCAGGGTGGTCCTACCACCCCCCAGCACCTGGTGCACCCCGCCAGACTTACATCTGGAGCCCACTGTAACCACCACATACAGACAGAGGGGGCTGCGCCGCAGGCGGCGATGGCGGCGGCGGAGCCGCCACCGCCACAGGCGCCGCCAGCGCCAGCGGGGGCGGAGCCCCCGCCGTCGTGCTTGCCGGCGCCGCCGGCGCCGCCATCTCCCGCGTTCCCCCCAGCGCTGGCAGCCGTTACATTCTTTTCGGTCAGCCTGAGGTGTTCCTTGCGGGCGACCTGCCGGGGGGAGGGGAGGGTGCACTGGCGCTGTGTCGCGAGTCGCCGCTGCTGGTGGAGGTCCATGACCGTACGGCCATTCCGGAGCCGCCCGAGTTCGCCGTCATGGAGGATGATGACGAGGAGGAGGAGGAGGAGGGAGGGGACGGGGTTACAGCAGCTCCTGGCACCCCCACCCCGGAGGGGGCCCTTACCGCCAAGGACAACGGGGGATTGCCGGAGAGTGAGGGCTACGTCTGCGGGTTGGCGAGGGTGTCGCTGTTGGATCTGGCGCGAGGTGAGGGTGGGAGGGAGGAGGGGAAGGAGTGGTAGGGGAGGGGAGGAAGGAGGGAAGGGGGAGACGGAAGGGAGTGGTAGGGTGTGGCGTTTCCTTGCATGTAGAGGAAGAAGAGGGGGAGAGTGGCAATTGATCGAGATTCAGTTGGGCAGCATTGTGCTTCTCCTTCCAGTACCACCAACACGGCACGCGGCCGTGTTCGCCGCTGGTTCCTTGACCATGACCTGCCCTCCACCTGCCCTCCACCTGCCCTCCACCTGCCCTCCACCTGCCCTCCACCTGCCCTCCACCTGCCCTCCACCTGCCCTCCACCTGCCCTCCACACAGGTTACACTCATTTCAAATTCAATGTCAATCTGGCGCCACACACCACAGTCCGGGGGGCGGCCTCCCTGGACTGGACCAAGAGGCCGGGGAACTACGTAGAGGTAGGGGTGGACGGGGGTGGGGGAGGCGCGGGAGGTGTGTATGTGTGTGGGGTGTGCCCGGGGAGGCGTGTTTGTGTGTGTGAGCCCTTGTTAAGAGGGGACATGGAAACAACGGAGCAACAGGTAGGGTCCTCGTGACCTGAGCATGCTAACCACCCCAACCCCCGCTTATTCACGCGTATAGTACATGTCACCACGAGTCACCTCCTCCTCTTCATCATCATCCTCCGCAGGCGGGTTCGGTGTTGAAGGGCGAGGTGCGCTGTGCGGCACCGCTGTCGGCGACCCGTGGGACGGACCCCTCCCTGCGGGTGTTCAGTCGAGCCCTATTCATCATGGACTACCGGGACTCAGACTTGTTCCACATGCTGGAGGTGAGGGGGACCCCTTGCAAGCGGGGAGGGGAGGGGAAAGAGGTGTTTTACATACCCGCACCTTCACCTCCACCCGCACCATCACCTCCACCCGCACCATCACCTCCACCCGCACCTTCACCTCCACCCGCACCATCACCTCCACCCGCACCTTCACCTCCACCCGCACCATCACCTCCACCCGCACCATCACCTCCACCCGCACCTTCACCTCCACCCGCACCATCACCTCCACCCGCACCATCACCTCCACCCGCACCTTCACCTCCACCCGCACCATCACCTCCACCCGCACCATCACCTCCACCCGCACCTTCACCTCCACCCGCACCATCACCTCCACCCGCACCATCACCATCACCATCACCTCCACCCCCACCTTCACCTCTTCCCGCTTACTCCGCAGGACATTCTACGTAAGAACAACGCCTGGAAGCTAGGGCTCAAGGCACCCTCGGATAAACTGGCTCCGGAGCTACTCCCGCCAGAGATGAGGAAGAAGGCGCTGGAGGCGGCGGGGGGGGCAGGGGAAGGAGACGAAACCAAGGGGGATCCTCGTCTGTCGATCAGTTCCGGCAGCAGCCTGTCGGCGTTGCACCGTCGCTCGTCCTCGCTGTACAGCGTTCCGGAGCTGGCGGCGCGTGGCAGCATAGGGCCTTCGGGGGGCCTGGGGCCCGATCGCAGCGGCCGCGCGTCGCCGGGGCCGCTGCCGCGACGGGAGAGCTTGTCGCCGCCGACGTACGGCGCGATGCCGCCGGGGATGTTGGTGACGAACGACAGCAAGCGACACGTGCTGTTTGACAGTAAGTTGCTGTTCGTGCAACTAAGGATACATGAAGTAATGTGGCCACCATCGACACGAACACTTC